CACTGTTTAAAATCCCGAGGGAATGGCTGGGTGTGGTGCTGCACACCTTTAATCCCAGCACTCAGGAGGCAGAGGCAGGCAGATATCTGAGTTCCAGGCCAGCTGGGGCTACAGGGAGACCCTGTCTCAAAAAGAAAAAAATCCTGAGGGGACTTCTCTGGCACTTGATAAGGTGATTCTCAAGTTATTCAAGAGTATTGGGGGAAGCTGGATGTGGTGGTGCACGCCTCAAGTCCCAGCCCTTGGAGACAGAGGCAGGTGGATCTCTGTGAGTTAGAGACCAGCCTGGTCTGCATGAGTTCCAGGCCAGGGAGACCCTGTCTCAAAAAGACCAAAAAAAAAAAAAAGTATTTGGGGGAAAGTTAAAAAAACAAAAACAACTTGGGTAGTTCCTTATATAATCACGTGGATTCTGTAAGAGGAAAACCATGGAAGACTCCTGGAGCTGAGGGATGCTGGAGGGGGACAGAGCTGGTTTGCAGTAGAAGCATCGCAGCTCTGCTGAGGCACAGCTGAGCATGAAATGCCTGGCCCGGCTAAGCAGAGTTGGGACCGGGCTGCAGGACTACATTCGAAGCTGGGAGACACTGCTGAACTATGCCAAGTATTCTTCCTTCCTTCCTGTGGAATATGTTGTTTGGCTGTAAGTTCTCCAACCTCAGGCACATTTCTGCTTTAATAGGTGGACATTGAATTTAGACAAATTTAGTAGAGTTCTAAGATTAATCAAATAATTTTTGCCATCATTCCTGAGCTAATACTACTTTCTTCTTGTTTTCATGCACTCGTGTTTCATGTCATTTCTCTTATTTCCTCCTTTTAGCCTTCTTGAATACAGGCTTCTGACATTCATAGTATCTTCTGCATTCAAGATGGCTTTCATTCCAAACACATGGCAATTGCTTTGGCCTGAGTTGGAACAGGCCGTGATTCAAACTGGTTTCATACAACTCTCCTGGCTGCTGCTCATTAAGGGCTGGAGAAGTCATGACATCTTTTCTGAGTTTCATGTATGCCAGGCTGGCCTCAAACTTGCTGTGCAGCCAATAACTGTGAACTTCTGATCCTCCTGCCTCCACCTTCTGCAACTACAGGCACACATGGTTTATGAGGTACTTTGTACATGCAAGGAAAGCACTCTTTATCTACTGAGCTACATCCCCAATCCCTATGGCATAGTCTTATGTTCTCTTGCTATTTCAAAACTTGAAATCTATTTATCAATCTATATATGCCGACAGTGAGGTTATCGTTAAATGAATTCTCCGGCACAAATGCCAAATGGTGTTGTGTTTCTATTACGAATACCTTACTTTCTATCCCGAAATTACACAAAATCTAAAATGCAAAGGAGGGCTAGAGAGACGGCTCAGTGGGTAACAGCACTAGCTGCTCTTGCAGAAGACTCAGGTTTGGTTTCCAGAACCCACACTGTAGTTAACAACCATCTAAAAGTCCATTTCCAGGGGATCTGAGGCCCTCTTCTGACCCCCACAGGCACTGCACACATGGGTGTACTATACACATGCATGCAAAACACTCCCAGACATAAAAAAATAAAAAGAAATTAAATGCAATGCAGTGACAACTAGCCTGGAAGGTAAGATGAAAGCAACTGTACCTCTCTGTAAGGTCCTGAGGCCTGGCACAACTGTTGTTCAAACACTGTGTTATAAGCAGAACAGTAACAAAGTCAGTACCGTCTAGGAGCTTCTGAGATGGCTCAGAGAAAAATGGGTCTATCAGGGGAAAGTGACTAGAGGAGAGGGCTTCTGGGCTAAGGACACACAGGCACAGATAAAGTAGAGCAGGAAGACAGCCTGCATGGCTAAAGCAGAAGGCCTTGATGTTGTGCATATAAATATGTGAATCATCTAACACTGGCTTCTAAATCAGGAAGAGATAAGAAGGACAGTGGCCTGAAGGGCGTGGTGGTGCACACCGTTAATCCCAGCATTCAGGAGGCAGAGGTTCCAAAAAAGGCAGTGGCAGGCTCTGTGTTATATACACTTACTCTTCTCAGTAAATTAAACTGCCTGGAAGCCCACACCCCACACAACTCCTTCCACACCCCTTTCTTTATGATCTGCTTCCCCTCTGCCCTGGGGACCATCGTGGAGTTAGGAATGGAAGGGCCTGGGAAGGAGCAAGGCACTCAGTGTGGCTGACTGAGTCTCCATAGAGATAATCATTATACACAAAGATGTTTAGATGAAAAAAACCAGACTCTTTCTGAAAATACTCTATTCACATCAAAATGTTAAAAACCAATTCAACGTTGGAAAAGTATATAGCAATACCTTTGCTGGGGACTATTTCCCAAACTATTTTAAGCATTAAGCATCATGTTACATAGGATCTTAGACCCTATCTTCACACAATGTAGACCTGGCCAAAACTGCATTGCTGTATTGTTATTAAAAACTACAAATGTGGTACAGTGTATAATTTCAAGTCTTAGGTTCTTAGCTACTACATTAATTAACAGTACCAGGAAGAAAACAGAGAAAAAAGTGCACATAAGTCAGTCAACAGATCAACACGAAATTTCTATTTTTCAGAGTAACATTATAAAACCATTCTTGAAATTCCATTTTATGAAGGAAAAAATAAATGTCATTTTATTTAGCATTCATTCTTAAGTTACAGTAATATCAATATAATCTCCTTCTAATGAAAGAAATCTTAGAATCCTAAAAACATGCATATATATAGCAAGATCTATATTCCTACATAAATTACATACATGATATATATTAGCCAATAAAGAATATCAGTTTGAGAGTTTGGGACATTTCTTCTTCTGTGTGGAGATTTACCTGCTGTGTAACACATTCATACAACCACACACGCACACACAGAGCAAATGCTGTGGCTCAGGTAGTGAGACACTAAATAAGCATATTTAAAATGCCTACAATCAGGCTTTGTTTTTTAGGCAACAAAATATTTTCTGTCCTTGAAAATGTCTCACTCACCTAGCACCAGATGCAAGAACTTAACAGTAAACATGTACAATCTCATGCTTAAAACCTAAAGCATGCAGTCAATGAGTTTATATATTGGAATCTACCATATATGCAATATATACTTCTTACTAATATTTTATACATTAAGTTACCCTGCAGCATTCTGGAATTTTAACATTTATGCAAAACAACTTTTGAAAGATTACTGAACCAAGCTACAAGGTTCACCTCCAGGCTGGTTTGGTTAAATGGGAAAACGGCAGCAGTCTGAGGTTTATACTGAATGAAAATGGTACATGTGCATGTCAATCTGTGTAAAATACCTATGTACACAGATGGCACAAAGATCTGTGCAGTTGGAATCACCAGTGCAGGTGCATGCATTTGAGGTACTTATTTTTTCCATGGTCAGGTATAATTATGCAGTCATTTTTGTCAAGTGCTAAAGATTTCAGACCTAATCAAATGAAAAGCTAGAACTATAAATGAGATATGTGTAGAATTAATTTCAAAGTACTATGCTTTCAATGAAGATTTAACATTAGAGTAGTCTGCCATATTTAGTTAAAAATATTATCAGTTAATACATTTTCTCACTTTACAGAGGCTGACTAGTAATTATACCTGGCCAAGTGATAAATAACATACTTGAAATTCTTGCAATTGTAATGAAAGAATAAAATACTTCATTATTGCTTCATTGGACTGAGAAACCGAAGAGGCAGAGCTAACAATGCTCAGTGATAAAAACTGCCATCAGGAAAGCTGTGCATGCTCACTGGCCTCTGCACTAAAACTAAGCGTTCTCCACGTTATCAATGCCCTTTGCACCCACGTGGATTTCAGGCTCCCCACACAGAGAGGAGGGAACAAAGTGGCTGACAGTGGGGCACAGACAGCTCCTAAGCTCTGGAAGTTCTTGTTTCAGGCGCTCCAGTTGCTCCACTTGGAATATGTTTGGCTGCTCAGGCATCCAATCATATATCCTACAATGAAGCAGATACAAAATATAAAACAGTGCCGTTTTGTTTGTTAAAAACTGCCTGACAATATTTTCAAGAAAATTCATTTAAAAATGCCTTTAATATCCTTATTACAGACCTTTTATTCTGCTTTTTATTAAATATGAAACTATTAGTTTTTGCTTGAGACAGGGTGTCCCTGTAGCCTCCTGGTTGGCCTGAACTTGCTATGGAGACTAGGCTGCCTCTGCCTCCTGAGTGCTGAAATTAGATTAAAGGCTTTTTTAAAACACTGGTTATAAAGCAATTCCTTGGATCAGAAAATGAAATCCGGAAGTATCTGCCATCCAGGTCAATTAATTGATAATGCCTTGTTTTACAGGTGGAAAGCTCTTGGAGCTAGAATTCACACCCAGTGACTTAAAAGTCACTAAGGATCAAGATCTAGAGGGAGGGAGCAGGAAGCCCCCTGGTGACTCCAACAGCACTGGCTCTATTCATGAACAGAGGCTGGCTTCATCCACTGCTACCTGAGGCAAAAGAGAATCTTTATGCATTACACTAGGAATACATTCTTTTTTAATATTTTTAAAAAAATTTTATATGTATGTGTATTGCCTACATGTACATAAGTGCATCCATGTCGTGCAATGCCCGCAGAGGACAGAAGAGGCTGTTGGATCCCCTGGAACTGGAGTTGTTAGCTGCCACGTGGGTTCTGGGATTTGAACCTGGGTCTTCTGCAAGAACAGTCAGTGTTCTTAACCACTGAGCCATCTCTCTAGCCCCAGGAATACATTCTTAAACAAGACAGAAACATACAGTGACTCTATTAAACAGCTGGTTACATTAACACAAAGATTTTCTGTTAAAGGAATGTAGGGCTAAAGGCTGTAACTATGCAGTACAGTGCTGTGTAGGAAGAATGATGCCTGAGTTTGGTCCCAAGCACTGAAATACCACCCAACCAACCAAATGACAGAAGAGAAAGCCAAGCACGTGTAAGGAAAATGAAGTGACCTCTGGGCTGAAGGTATCAAGTAGAACAGAAGCATCTAACTCATACTCTCCTTATAGGCCACTAAAAGTAAAGCGAATGCAGGAGCATGCCAAGTAACCAAGAGACAAAGCAAGAAAACTGCAGAAGGTGAGAAGAAAGACAGCCAAGTATGAAGTTTCCAGTTAACAAAACTGAAAAGACCAAAACACAAGCTATTAATAGGCTTTTTTAAAAAGCAGCACCAAGTTCCTGAACTGGAAGTGAAAGGGAGGGTGAGAAGGCGGCTCTGAGCAGTGATGCCCCATCCCTGCTGCTGGGCTGCCCCTTCCCCACACTGGACTGAGAATTACATAGGGTGTCTCTTAGAATGGAAGACACCAGAACCAAGTGATGGTTTGGATATTTTATAAGACCACTACCTTTACCAGCAGCACCAAAAGAATTCAGAATCAAACTAAATCCAGAGCCACCCCTTGCCACCTCAGATCTCTTCTCTTGGGTGACTCCAGAACACTGGCAGCCAATCTTGGACCTCGCCAGGAATAACAGAGATTCTTATGAGGAATTTGACCAGTCAACAAGTATAAAACACTAACATGAGAGTATGAACAAGCAGGCCACCAAGATCACCTCACAGTGAAGCCCAACTTAACAATCCATTAGCACTTCAGCTTCCAATAAGCTTTGGAGATCTGAACCTTATCCTAGAAGACAAATAGCGAAGAAAACTTTTTAATGCAGAATATAGCACAGAAAACCTAAAGACAAAAACAAAAATAACTAATCATCATGACTTGGGAGAAACAGTACTTTTCAAACAAGAATAGGATGGTACATGTATCCTAAATGCTACTTTCCCTAGAAATTCAAAATATAACAGCACGGAAAGGCTCCCAAAGTAGAATGAATGAAAAGAAAATAAAAGAATTAGAATTACATAATGCAAATGACTCATAACGAAAATAAATGAAGAAATGTGGAAGGTCCAAGAATCACTGAAATGCTTCACAAAACGTCCTCCATCTTTCTTCCATTGCTGGGGATAAGCCCAGGGCATTGTGTACTTTAGACACACATAGTACCACTGAGCTACATATCCCCACTCCAAAATTTCACATCTCCCCTACACTCCCCAAGACAGGGTCTCTGGCAGTATAGGCTGGCCTTAGAACTGACATGTAGCTGAGAACAACACTGCACTTCTGACCCACCAAGACCTTGAGTGCTCAGATTACAGGCATGTACCACGGCAGTTTATTCTGCACTAAGGCGAGCACTCAACCAACCAAGCTACATCTCAGCCCAACTTTCATGTCTTGAAGGACATGCATCAACTGCATAAAAGGACTACCAAGGGCTCAGAACAAGGGTGAAATTAGACTCAAATCTATCTCTGGAATTTCAGAACACTGGTGACAGAGTAGAATCCTACAGGTGTCACAGGGGAAACAAATTACACTTGGGGGAACAATGACCAGTATGACTTCACAACTCAAAATGGCAACACTTGAAATGGTAAGATGATGGTGAAATGCTAGAAAATCTTAATGGAAAATGACTATTAATATAGAACCTGTGCCTACCCATCTCCCTTTTAAACAAAGAAAATCTGAAAATATTCAGGCTCTGTGTCTTCCTCTCTCGGGATAATGTAAAGGATGTGTTCCATATAAATGACAGTAAACCAACCAAGGAAGATATATGGCTCTGGAAAACAGGAAGTCGAATACAGGGACCGCCAGCAAGTGGGTATCTCTTGGAATGAAAAGGAAGGTTCGTTAAGGCTACAGTTCCAAGAAAGTCATTGCCACGTCAGCAGCTCTGGAACCCAAGGACGGTATGCCCTCGTGAGGGCCAACCAGAATCTTGTTTAAATCGTTGTGTCTGAACCATGTGCTCCATAGTTTCCTTATTACCTAACAGTATTATAACACTTGACCTAACCTACTCCTGAGAACTGATGTTAGGCTACAATGAACAAGCATGTACGTCTCAGTCTACTCCAAGTGACCATAAAAAATCCTGTTATACTTCCAAAAATATCTGACCAATAGGTAGATATCTGATTTTGCTAAACAAGTAGCTTAGTAGACCACAAAGTTAATTTAGAAAGCCAAGATTTGGGGCTGGAGAGAGGGCTCAGTAGTTAACAGCACTGACTGCTCCCAGCACACATGTGGTGGCTAACAACCATTTGTAACTCCAGTTTCACGGGATCTGACATCCAATTCTGACCTCTGCGGGCATTGCAAGACATGGGTACATCTACCTACATGCAGGCATAACACTCATATCATACACATAAAATAAAAATTAAAAAATTAGAAAGTCCAGAGGGCTCAGTAGTTAACAGCACTGACTGCTCCCAGCACACATGTGGTGGCTAACAACCATTTGTAACTCCAGTTTCACGGGATCTGACATCCAATTCTGACCTCTGCGGGCATTGCAAGACATGGGTACATCTACCTACATGCAGGCATAACACTCATATCATACACATAAAATAAAAATTAAAAAATTAGAAAGTCCAGGCA